CTTTTTCGTCTGATATCCGATTGAGGTGATTCAAGATGCTTTGGAAAGCTAACTCAAAGGGTTACAACTTTACTTCAGAAATCATTTTCCAATTCGATCATTTGCTGTGCCAAAAATGGGTCTCAATATGATACTAAAACTTCAGAGCATAACTTTTCGGTTGAAATTGATTTGGGATCATATTTTGACTAAATTTGATCCATTTGACATCTTTCCTCATCCAATTGACTCCAAGCACTCTCAAATCTTCATCGTGAGGTTCGACACAACTTTTAAATATTTACATTTTAGTCCCCGAACTTTGGATCCCTTACAATTTAGCCCAACCAAAAAAATTATATCTTTATTAATAACAAATTAATTATTAAACAAAACTATTAAATATAAACTAGGCAAACGTGCATTGCACGTTGCTTGCACCTAGTATATATATATATAGCAATCATCTTTTACATTATTATTTATATTGTGCCACGTGATAACACACCATTGGACACTTAAAAAAAAATACTTTTTTCGCCTAAAATGTTTTGAAAAAAATTGGATGTGAAAATCATGTAAGGGATGGATGCACATTTAACATTATTGATGTACATAATTACTTGTCGAGTTAAAATACTTCTTTGGAAATGTATGTGTTACAGTTTTTCCTAAAGAAAGTCCTTGTTTGGTTTGATTAAAAATAATGTTTTAGTATATTTTGATAAAAATTGATGAAATGTATAGTTGAAAAGTCGATAAAAGTTATGAATGACGTGAAATATGTGATTGAAAAAAAAAAATTGACTTCTAAAAACTGTTAATAAAATGGAAACTCAGTTGCCAACCCGACATTCTTTAATTTATTTCTTATACTCATTTTCAATCACACATTCACACAATGAAATATTCAACAAGTATACTCAAAAAAAGTTCCCACTTTTTAATCATACATTTTCCAAAAAATATTATTCAAAACATAGTTTTTTATAATTACTAGTGGGGTGAACCTACGTTGCACGTTAGCTAAACAATATTAAAAATAAGTGTGTAAATATGAGAGCAATTCATTTGTAAACATGAAATATATTCATAAGTTGGTTGGAATCGACATACTTTTCATCTCTTTTCTTTTTATATTTTTGATTCTTGATGCGTACATTGGTACTATATGTATTTAACTTCTCGTTATAACTATTTATTTCTTGAAGTTAGTTATGTATTGTTTTAAGTTTATAATATTTTGTATACAATATTAATAAATTTACAGATGTAAAGATCACAGTAATTTAGTTCTTCTCTACAAAGTAAGCTGATGATTGTTAATGTTTATGTACTTTTATTATGCGGGACATAAGTACGAGAAACTCAATTGATAAGATGATCTCTACTATGTAAGATCAAATTAGTTAAATGTCGTTTCATTGATGAACCGCTTAACTGAAAATGAAGTGATTCATACATTTATATTGCTTTTTACATTCAGAAAATTAAATAGTTCCAAGCAAAAAAGCATCAAGGTCTGGATGCTGTCTTGATGTATTATTTAATTCATTCAATTTAAAACCCTCCACATATACTACACAGATAAAGGGTATCAAGAGTCGATCAAGGCCATCAGTTTTAGAAAAAGCGAACATATAAAAATACCATGGAGCATAACTTGAGAGCAATTTATCCAAGGCACCACTTGTTTGAAGGTTGCATTTCCTTGCTCATCTATGGTCACTGCAGCAAGCTTCACCAAGGTAACAACGCAAATAACCTACTGTAAATGGTAAATAAAAAGAGACCAACATACACATGTCATTATTTACCTTTCGAACTTTAGTTATAGCAAGCTTGAAGAAGAAATAAATGGATATTATTTTTTGGCGTGAAATTTACATATATAAAAAATAAAACCATTGGCAAACAGGAGGTGGCTATTGTTGTGCAGAACAGTAAATTTCTTTGCAACAGAAGTTCCATCCTTCAGTTTTAAAGAAAACACGGCTAAATAATAAGCAACTCATGGTATTATTTCCAATTTACCGCATATGCATAATTTACCCAAGAATTAATCTCCTCCTAGAATGAATGGTATTATAATCAGAATATTCAAACAAAATACATAAATTTAAGAACTAAAGATCCAACAACCAAAAGAACACCATATTGTTCCACTAATAATCACTATATGGGTGTCCTTGTTTTTTAGTATAAGCACCATCTAAGCCTAGAAGGAATTTTTAGGTCTCCACCTACACCTGGTGGGATCTTTCGATTTCCAAACCCTGTCTATTGATAAAGAAATGATGTTCAAATGGGAGGTAAATCCCTTGGTGTTGAGCGGATTTAGTTTTTGGTTCTTATGTTAATATTTGATTTATGTATATTTAGACAT